TGAGTGAGAGGTGAGCAGAGTGACAGGTCAGCAGAGTGAGTGACAGGTCAACAGAGTGAGTGAGAGGTGATCAGAGTGAGTGACGGGTGAACAGAGTGAGTGAGAGGCGAGCAGAGTGAGTGAGAGGTGAGCAGAGTGAGTGACAGGTCAGCAGAGTGAGTGACAGGTCAGCAGAGTGAGTGACAGGTGAGTGAATGAGTGACAGGTGAGTGAGTGAGTGAGTGACGGGTGTGCAGAGTGAGTGAGAGGTGAGCAGAGTGAGTGAGAGGTTGCCGTGCTGTGCACAGCTGCGCGGCCCCTCCGCCATGCCCTGCGATTTCATCTGAGCCCAACCCGCGCCTGTGCCAGCGGTCTGATACCTGCCCTGGAAGCAATCGAGTTGTGTGAAAACTGCTCATGAATATTGAATTGGACGTCAGTCATTAATGAGTCTAATGGAAACTTACCGGTCAGTAAATCTGAGAACTGTTATCCTTTACACAGCGGGTTCAAACAGACATTTGATCTCACACCTTAGCATAAGCAATGACCGGAGCCTCAATGGTTAATGGCATCTACAGTGTTACAAGTGAATATTTAAAAGATACAAAAGGTGGAATCGTTTCTTTTCTTTTCTGAACAACGAAAACGGCCTCCTTGTGCGGAATGTCAGGTGCCTCTCGAGTCTTGTCGCAGAAAAAAAGTAAATTCTCCGCATTTGGGAATGTTTTTTTTAAATTCAATGTTGTTGACGTTTTGTTGAAATTCCAGCCACCACGGGGCCGTTTTGCTGCTTCGTAGCCGCAGAACGCGGCTGGGTCAAAAGGGGACGCGTGGCTTCCAGCGTGCGGGGATTAATGAGAAGAGAGGGCACGCGAATGAGGGCGGGTGGAAGCTGGAGATTGAAATCGGGGCCAAATAAGTCACATGGCCCAATGGTGCACGACTACGCGATACCGGTCCGGTAAAACCTCCAAATCTGGCTTCCTGCTGCTGGACGCCTGCCTCTAAACCCGCGCCATCTCACCCTAATCGTGTTGGTCGGGGACTGTACAGACATCTGCATGGCGAATCCTGAGCGCCTGCGCGCCGCTCAGCGTTGCAGATTTCAGCTGCATTCATCTGTTTCCCCCCCCCCCCACCTTCTTCTTCTACCATGAACGTAACCCGCCACTATCGCGGACCACAATAAATCATCGTGTGCACGCTCTATGAATAGATTAGCGATAGATTAATAGAGCGTGCAGACCACTGCAGCGTCCGGCACACAGAGCCGAGCCTGATGGATTTTAGTCCTGTCGGGACCTATCCAGCCCATTATGAATCCTCACCAGGGCGAGCTGACCACACTACTCGGGACCATTTCGTCAGTCAGCTGCGATGACAGCCTGTGGTGCTGGTTATGAAAGCGCCTCCTTGGGGCAAGAAAAGCCAAACCGTTCGTGAGGATGAATCGGCTTTCGAAGGGGGTGCTGACACCTTCTTGGTTCTTTCGGTAAAGTCACGTAGAAGGGAAATAATAAAATAATAAAAATAAAACAATAAAATACAATTATCACGACGTTTCGGCCAGAACGCAAGCAGCCGTCGTGAGAATTGTATTTTATTACGTTTTATTATTTATTATTTTATTATTTCCCTTCTACGTGACTTTACCGAAAGAACCAAGAAGATGAATCCCTGCAGTCACGAAAGCTTCAAATCGAAAGGTGCTGACACCGTGACGTTGAAAGCAATGCCCAGACAACGCAACGTGTACGGGCTCGGCATCTACACGGGGCGACAAGATTCGCCTCCTAAACAACATCAGCCAAACCCACCGAGCCAGCGACAACTCGCTTGGCGACCGAGGCCTCCACGGTCACTGAGCAATGGCCATACTTCTGTGTTGAGGTCTCCCATGGCTATTGCGCAATGCTGAGGTCCCATGGCTATTGCCCAGTGTCACGTGGTGTGGCTCTTGCCCAGTGTCACGTGGTGTGGTTATTGCCCAGTGTCACGTTGCTCTTGCCCAGTGTCACGTGGCGTGGCTCTTGCCCAGTGTCACGTGGCATGGTTATTGCCCAGTGTCACGTGGTGTGGTTATTGCCCAGTGTCACGTGGCGTGGCTCTTGCCCAGTGTCACGTGGCGTGGCTCTTGCCCAGTGTCACGTGGTGTGGCTCTTGCCCAGTGTCACGTGGTGTGGCTCTTGCCCAGTGTCACGTTGCTCTTGCCCAGTGTCACATGGTGTGGCTCTTGCCCAGTGTCACGTGGCATGGTTATTGCCCAGTGTCACGTGGTCTGGTTATTGCCCAGTGTCACGTGGCGTGGCTCTTGCCCAGTGTCACGTGGCGTGGCTCTTGCCCAGTGTCACGTGGTGTGGCTCTTGCCCAGTGTCACGTGGTGTGGCTCTTGCCCAGTGTCACGTAGTGTGGCTCTTGCCCAGTGTCACGTGGCATGGTTATTGCCCAGTGTCACGTGGTGTGGCTCTTGCCCAGTGTCACGTGACGTGGCTCTTGCCCAGTGTCACGTGACGTGGTTATCGCCCAGTGTCACGTGGTGTGGTTATTGCCCAGTGTCACGTGGTGTGGCTCTTGCCCAGTGTCACGTGGCGTGGCTCTTGCCCAGTGTCACGTGGCATGGCTATTGTCCAGTGTCACGTGGTGTGGCTCTTGCCCAGTGTCACGTGGTGTGGTTATTGCCCAGTGTCACGTGGTGTGGCTCTTGCCCAGTGTCACGTGGTGTGGTTATTGCCCAGTGTCACGTGGCGTGGCTCTTGCCCAGTGTCACGTGGTGTGGCTCTTGCCCAGTGTCACATGGCGTGGTTATTGCCCAGTGTCACGTGATGTGGCTCCTGCCCAGTGTCACGTGGCGTGGTTATTGCCCAGTGTCACGTGGTGTGGCTCTTGCCCAGTGTCACGTGGCATGGCTATTGCCCAGTGTCACGTGGCGTGGCTATTGCCCAGTGTCACGTGGCGTGGCTATTGCCCAGTGTCACGTGGCATGGCTATTGCCCAGTGTCACGTGGCGTGGCTATTGCCCAGTGTCACGTTGCTCTTGCCCAGTGTCACGTGGCATGGCTCTTGCCCAGTGTCACGTGGCGTGGTTGTTGCTTAGTGTCAAGTGGCGTGGTTATTGCCCAGTGTCACGTGGCGTGGCTCTTGCCCAGTGTCACGTGGCGTGGCTCTTGCCCAGTGTCACGTGGTGTGGCTCTTGCCCAGTGTCACGTGGTGTGGCTCTTGCCCAGTGTCACGTTGCTCTTGCCCAGTGTCACATGGCGTGGCTCTTGCCCAGTGTCACGTGGCATGGTTATTGCCCAGTGTCACGTGGTCTGGTTATTGCCCAGTGTCACGTGGCGTGGCTCTTGCCCAGTGTCACGTGGCGTGGCTCTTGCCCAGTGTCACGTGGTGTGGCTCTTGCCCAGTGTCACGTGGTGTGGCTCTTGCCCAGTGTCACGTAGTGTGGCTCTTGCCCAGTGTCACGTGGCATGGTTATTGCCCAGTGTCACGTGGTGTGGCTCTTGCCCAGTGTCACGTGACGTGGCTCTTGCCCAGTGTCACGTGACGTGGTTATTGCCCAGTGTCACGTGGTGTGGTTATTGCCCAGTGTCACGTGGTGTGGCTCTTGCCCAGTGTCACGTGGCGTGGCTCTTGCCCAGTGTCACGTGGCATGGCTATTGCCCAGTGTCACGTGGTGTGGCTCTTGCCCAGTGTCACGTGGTGTGGTTATTGCCCAGTGTCACGTGGTGTGGCTCTTGCCCAGTGTCACGTGGTGTGGTTATTGCCCAGTGTCACGTGGCGTGGCTCTTGCCCAGTGTCACGTGGTGTGGCTCTTGCCCAGTGTCACGTGGAGTGGTTATTGCCCAGTGTCACATGATGTGGCTCCTGCCCAGTGTCACGTGGCGTGGTTATTGCCCAGTGTCACGTGGTGTGGCTCTTGCCCAGTGTCACGTGGCATGGCTATTGCCCAGTGTCACGTGGCGTGGCTATTGCCCAGTGTCACGTGGTGTGGTTATTGCCCAGTGTCACGTGGCATGGCTCTTGCCCAGTGTCACGTGGCGTGGTTGTTGCTTAGTGTCAAGTGGCGTGGCTCTTGCCCAGTGTCACGTGGCGTGGCTCTTGCCCAGTGTCACGTGGTGTGGCTCTTGCCCAGTCACGTGGTGTGGCTCTTGCCCAGTGTCACGTGGTGTGGCTATTGCCCAGTGTCACGTGGCGTGGCTCTTGCCCAGTGTCACGTGGCGTGGCTATTGCCCAGTGTCACGTGGCGTGGCTATTGCCCAGTGTCACGTGGCGTGGCTCTTGCCCAGTGTCACGTGGTGTGGTTATTGCCCAGTGTCACGTGACGTGGCTCTTGCCCAGTGTCACGTGGCGTGGTTATTGCCCAGTGTCACGTGGCGTGGCTCTTGCCCAGTGTCACGTGGCGTGGCTCTTGCCCAGTGTCACGTGATGTGGCTCCTGCCCAGTGTCACGTGGCGTGGTTATTGCCCAGTGTCACGTGGTGTGGCTCTTGCCCAGTGTCACGTGGCATGGCTATTGCCCAGTGTCACGTGGCGTGGCTATTGCCCAGTGTCACGTGGTGTGGTTATTGCCCAGTGTCACGTGGCATGGCTCTTGCCCAGTGTCACGTGGCGTGGTTGTTGCCCAGTGTCAAGTGGCGTGGCTCTTGCCCAGTGTCACGTGGCGTGGCTCTTGCCCAGTGTCACGTGGTGTGGCTCTTGCCCAGTCACGTGGTGTGGCTCTTGCCCAGTGTCACGTGGCGTGGTTATTGCCCAGTGTCACGTGGCGTGGTTATTGCCCAGTATCACGTGACGTGGTTATTGCCCAGTGTCACGTGACGTGGCTCTTGCCCAGTGTCACGTGGAGTGGTTATTGCCCAGTGTCACGTGACGTGGTTATTGCCCAGTGTCACGTGACGTGGTTATTGCCCAGTGTCACGTGACGTGGTTATTGCCCAGTGTCACGTGACGTGGTTATTGCCCAGTGTCACGTGACGTGGTTATTGCCCAGTGTCACGTGACGTGGTTATTGCCCAGTGTTGAGGAGTTCCCGCGCCCGCCGTGCGCCACCTGGCGGCAGCGGCGGGAGGCGGGAGGAGGAGGAGGCGGCGGCGGCGGGGGACTGCGTCACGGGCGGCTTCTCTCGCGATAGCAGCCCAGCAGCTCGGCCTCGCTAAGATGGCAGCGACTGCGAGCGAAACTAAGTTGAGGTGAGGGCACCCGGCCCGGGCCCGGGCCCCCCCGCGCGGCGTCTCCCCTCGTCCGCAACTCAACGCAGGCGACGTCGCGACCGCCTTCGGCTCGCTCGCGACGCGCTCCGCGGCGTCTCTCTCCCCTCTCTCGTCTCTCTCCCGTCTCGCTCTCGGTCTCCTCTGCGTGGCCCTCCTCCCGCCGCAGTGGCGGCCGCCGCGAGCAGCTTGCAGGGGGTGGCCCCTTGGTGGCCGCATCCCCATGGAGACCGGGGGGCCCCCGCGGGCCCCAGCGCGCCCATCTCGTCTCTCTCACCGCCGCCCGCGGCTCTCGACTGCAGGCGGCGGCGGCGGTGGCGGCATGAGCGGCTCCCCTCCAGCGCCGTCCAGAGAAGGGGATGAAGAAGCAGGAGGGGAGACCCCCCCCCCCCACCCACCCAGACGCCGCCGAGCGCTGCCGTGAGCGGTGATGTCGGGGCTCTTGAGTTTTGTTGATTTCGTGGCTCCGCCGCGATCTTGTTCAGAATGGGGTCTGGGTGGGTGTGAGTTGGGGGGGTGGGGGGCTCAGTTGTGGGGGGCCCACGGGGTGCCCTCCCTTGTCAATGGCGCCGCTCGCTCGGGGCAGATTTGAGCGCCTCTGACGGGAGTAGTGGTTGTTGTTGTGGTGGTGGTGGTGGTAATTGTTGTTGTTGTGGTGGTAGTTGTTGTAGTTGTGGTGGTTGTGAGGGACGTTTTGCGCGTTGCGCGGGAATCCCAGCCGCGCCGTTCATCCCAAGTCTGTTATTGCGGCGATCTGTTTCGGGGTCCGCCAGGGGTCACGGGGTCGTGATGAGGCACCACGGGGAAGGGGACGCGTGGCCCCCCACGCTCAGCGTGCCCCCCACGCCCGGCGTGCCCCCCACGCTCAGCGTGCCCCCCACGCTCAGCGTGGCCTCTGTGGAGGCCGGGCGGGAGGAACAGCGACAAAGCTGTCCAATAGTTCTATGGGACCCCCCCCCCCAAACAAAACCAAAGACCAATGTTTGGTACCAGCTTTAGAATGGTACCAACAAGACCAATGTTACTTGTTGGTACCAGCTTTAGAATGGTACCAACAAGACCAATGTTACTTGTTGGTACCAGCTTTAGAATGGTACCAACAAGACCAATGTTACTTGTTGGTACCAGCTTTAGAATGGTACCAACAAGACCAATTTTACTTGTTGGTACCAGCTTTAGAATGGTACCAACAAGACCAATGTTACTTGTTGGTACCAGCTTTAGAATGGTACCAACAAGACCAATGTTACTTGTTGGTACCAGCTTTAGAATGGTACCAACAAGACCAATTTTACTTGTTGTTACCAGCTTTAGAATGCACAGCCAACATTTTAGTTGCTAATTAAAAATATGTAAATAGCACGACTAAAAAGTATTGCGAAACATAATCCACTTTCGTTTGCCCCGTTGCTCCCGATTGGAAAAGGCTCACCACGGCTTGCTCGAAATAAACTTGACGTGATCGTCCGTACGTATACACAAACCGGTATACACGACATAGTTTACACTTTCCGTGGTAGCGAATTCTGTTGAGGCTCACACGGACGCAGTGATGGGCGCGATGTGGATATTGCGTAGGGGAACGAGGGTACCGATTGGGCTGGGTTGTGACCGGGTTGTGGCTTGGTTAGGGCTTGGTTAGGGCTGGGTTGTGGCTGGGTTGTGGCCGGGTTGTGGCTTGGTTAGGGCTGGGTTGTGGCTGGGTGAGGGCTGGGTTGTGGCTTGGTTAGGGGAGGGTTAGGGCTGGGTTAGGGCTGGGTTAGGGCTATTTTGTGGTTGTGTTAGGGCTGGGTTAGGGCTGGGTTGTGGCTGGGTGAGGGCTGGGTTGTGGCTGGGTGAGGGCTGAGTTCGGGCTGGGTTGTGGCTGAGTTAGGGTCGGCGCTGATTAGCATGGAGGCAAAAGTGGCAATTTCTTTCGGGCCTCACAAAAAAACACGAGGACTCCACTACAGGGTGCTTGCATCGCAAAAGTTTGCTATTTAAAATTTTGGCAAATATAAGCGTACTCGCTTGTGATAAATGCATAATTGCGCAAAATAAGCGGTATTTTGCCTTGGGGACATGGGGTGTAGGTTTGAACAAAGTGGACGGTGGAATAAGGGGCATGGCAGCCCTGGGCTTCTGGGAACCTCCTCCGGGCGGCCCTGCTATTGAGGGGACCACCGATAGCGCCAAAGCGGCAGTGCGTGGTGAAGGTTGAGCGGGGCCCACGTAACACCTCGTGCTCACGCACCCTCGGCCATCAAACCCACATACCCTCCCCCTCACCTCCCATGATGGGAACCTCCCGAGACGAGGATAGCCTGCTGATGGAATTCGTCAGTGGGCCTTTGGTCGTGGCTGTGGTTATGAATGTAGCACACATCCAGACGGGATGTAAAGATAACGTCTTTTGGCACAGTCAGCCCCGCAGTGTTTGAATCATGCTTGTCTGCAGTGTGCCACCATGAAGTCCCTCTGATGGCGAGTATTTGCCCTACTTGGTAACGTCTACTTCAAGTCATTTAGTAAGCGAGGTGTAATGTCCGTGCCATTTGATATCTCCAGTAATTGGTGATGACGTCCAGGCAAGAATGAAGTTCCAACTTCCTATTTGTGCTCCACTTAATCAGTCTCTTTGTATGGGTACCTCTATTTAAATATGTATATTTAGTGGCTAAATTAGTCCAGCTGGCACGGATTAAGTGACGCGTATAAATTGGTTAAACTATGCAGTAGTTCTCGTTAAAGAGTTTAAGTCAATGGCACCAGGAAATTAAGCATTTCCTGGCAAAGCCAAGACTCCTAGATTTTAAACCTCAACATGGAATCCACTCAGCCTTGCTTCGAGGAGTCTGCACGTGTGATTCCATGGGCAAAGGGCAGCATCACACCGTTTCCTGTAGCATCTATAACATCACATTGGTTCCTATAGCATTTATAACATCACACCATTCCCTATAGCATCGTACCGTTTCTTACAGCAGATGGGGCAGTGACGTGTTCCAGCAGTAGTGCGTTCGCCGCTTGTTGCAGAGGTTTGCAGTTCGCATCTGGCACTGCCCTGGTTAATACTGCCGGTTAAATACTGCTGGCTAATACTGCTTTTAATACTGCTGTTGATACTGCTGGTTAATACTGCTGTTAATACTGCTGGTTAATACTGCTGGTTAATACTGCAGGTGAATACTCATACGAGGGTAAGGTTTATATTTGGATCACTGAGCTCATTGAACACGGAGTTCACTTCACCGGGGAATGATTTCCACTTTAAAGATATCAATATCAACTGAGATCGTATTAAACCGCATCAATTAATTTGTAATATAGATTAATAATATTCAGCCTTTAGCCTTGTGAAAGAACAATTATATTATCGCTCACTGTAGCCTAGGTGCACGTTTCAAGTGCTTACATAAGGAGGGCATGACCGATGGATTATGGTTTTCCGATGTCTGTTAACCTACATTAACACTGAATAATTTGTTATAGTCTCGTGGCTTAAAATGTGGATTTTTTTCTTCCGATAGAGCTTGTTTTGCAGCAGAGGTGCTATGCTCGTCAAACCACACGCGGCAACCATCATCGCCGTAGCTTGTGTGCACGCGTGTCGGGGTCATCCTCGACAAAACCAACCAAGCAAAGGCGTCGCCGTTTGCGACGCGTTTGCGAGCTGCGGTGAACTCCTGGCTCGTAGTTGGCGTGAGCTCGCACGGAGGAAGGCGTTGCAAAATATGGCAGATTCACGTGCCTCTCTGGTTTCAGTTTGGACGCTGATTTGCTGTCATCATGCGATGCGCCTCGGGTGCACTTGTCAAGTTTAGCGCCGTGCGTTGAAGCCAGTCGTTATCGTTAAAAATACACAACTGGAGTCTGTGCCAGCCAACTGAAAAAACAAAAGGCGCAGTTTAGATTACATTTACGTCGTAGCAATAAAAGAAACGCTCGAAAGCAACGTCTGCAATTTTCCTGGCGATGTGGCTGGAGGAGGAGAGGCTGAGTGGCTCAGAGGTCAGAGAGCCGAGTTGGCACCGCTGAAATCCTGGGTTAGAATCCAGGCAGTTACCCGAGATTACACTGGGTTCTCAAGTGTAACGAATGGCCGGTCTCAGTCCCGTCACCCGTAACTGCACAAAAAGAACATCGCGTTACATTTGGTTCCGCACTTAATTTGTTTGACTGTTACAGCGACAAAAAATTACTCCCAAGTAAAGTGGACGGGAAAGTACTGCCCTCTTGTTCGCCGCCTAGAGATCGTTAAAAGGGGTCTCAAGAGTTGGCTCTGTGATGTCCACTTGCATGGGGGCATTCTCTCACATTGCTCTGCGAGAGTTCCTGCCCGGCTGGGCACTTCAACTCATGGCGTGACACCAAGACCACAATCGGGACAAATGAGAAAATACAACAAGGACGCATGTGGTCTGACGTGCCACGCAACGAGAGCGGGTTTAGTCGGCCTGTCGATGGTGGCGACACTGAGTGAGAATAGGGTACCGCGTCACTGCAATGAATGAGTCATGAGCCTCCCCACCTCCTTCCACGACTTGGCTCCGAGCCAGATCACCGGTGCCATGTGAGGACAGCTATCATGGTTTGGTTCCTGGCTAGGCATAGCCAATAGCCGGCGGAAACCCATCTGTGCCACGACGGCCCCTTGCTGGCTGAGCTTGGATGTCCCAGCAGCGAAGGGGCATCACAAGTGCAGTCTGCTCTCATGTAGCTCTTCCTCCCGATATTAGGAAGCCACTGGAGCTCTATGCACCTTGAAATCGAGATTGAAAACTCATTTCTTCAAACTGCTTTTTTGTGTTTGGGTTGTTGTCCTTCCCCCAGCACGGTTGGCGATGTGCGGTGGGACAAAAGTTGAACATGCGTACATGGCACGCGGTAGTTGCGTTCCTGAAGAACACCGCATTATGGAAAACCGCGTTATAATAAATAATATATCATATAGGGCAAAGCGCAGTCTGCGATAACACGTGAGATGCGTACGCAGGCTGAAC